CCCCAAAACCCCAAAACCCCAAAACCCCTTTTATAAAAGAGCTGATAGAAATAATAAATAAAGCACAATAATGAATTCAACGAATCGCAAAAGAGTTGCTCCAAAGCAAACAAAATGCAGAATAGTAGACTCAAGACTAGCATTCAATCAAAAGTAAGTGGCAGGAGATTTATGATGTAGAAACCTCAGATCTTTAGTGTTCAAATGAGGTCAGGACACTTACCATATGCGTCCTGTACCTCCCAAGGAATTACGAAGCTCATTGAAGGTAAAACTGGAAAAAGATACTTTCTTATCAAAGTACTTTCGCATTTAGGCTAACAAATTATGTTAGAGTAGTAATACTAAAGATTGTTTTAAGAATGAAGTGCAATGCAGATTCATTGTTTTGCCAGACTACTCTTATACTTTTAGTCTTAAAGCCTGCTGATGCCTCTATCTTCAGAATCAGAGTATTTTGCTTACTTCCTAATGTCTAAAAGATCATTTATGATGTTATATAGGAAAAAATCGTAAATGCTAATTACCAGAAGAAAGAAGAACCCTCTCACGCTTCCAAACATAACTCAGGTACCTATATTCCTCATACTCTCTCCTCCTTTCCACGAGAATCTATATTATTCAAATCATGACACTTCATAATAAAACCAGTTAAAATCCTTCCTCAACAGTTTCTAAAATTTGAAATTTTGTTCTAAAAATTTCATGCTGGTCGCTGGAGTTATTTTAGGATTAGGTGTAGATCTTGGAGGGTTGGTGAGGAATTATTGGAAGGATGTTTAGGGGAGATGGGAGGGGTATAAGGGGAGGTTGGGAGGGAATGGGTGGAAGATTCATGGGAGGTCTAAATGAGGTGGAGTTGGAAGGATGAGATGATAAGAGGGGAAGATGTGACTCAGGTTGGATAGACACTTTATAAATCTCTTGTATTTTAGTAATATTTATTGCTAAGCTAGTCCAGTCTCTTTTATATAATTCTTGTCAGCTTATAAATAAATGCTGCTAGGATGCAATATATTTAGAAAGGGTCTGATTGAGCTTGAGTAGTACCTTTCGCTTCTCATCGATTAATTCTCCAGCTCAACTTAGATGAAGAATTAGCATGAATTGATCAGACATTTGTGGGCAATTTTCGCTTGTGTATCTTTGCTAAAGCTTAGTTATCACATATGTTCAATCTCACCATCATTAACATCACTAATTAATAAAAAGTATTGCATTGCTTCAATTACTTTACCTGTATGTCAGTGAATAATCCTCAGGAGGCAAGCCTCGCAATAATAGGGGCTCAGTCAGCCCGACTTTGATTGCAGTTAATGATAGGAGTCAGACTACTAGGACAGTTTTTTAGGATATGTGAGGAAATAGCTCTCTGAATTCGGGTAGCAAGGAGGTATGAAGAAATAATTTTTTGGCGAAAATTATCTCAGTTAAAAAGGATTAAATTTTATTGTGAATTCTTCAAGATATTTGAGGAAAAGTATTTTTGATAATAGAGTAGATCCAAATAGTCCTAATTGTTTTCGGTTAACGATCTGAACCTTCCTCTGATACTGAGAATAGTATTTAAAATGCCTCCCTATGAGGTATGAGCTATAGAATTCATCGTATCTATATCGATAAAGTTTTAACTTTGAAATAAATAAAAATTCAGCATAAATTTCTGGAAATATGACCGATTATTATTTGCAAGGCTTGAGTAGTATTTTTTATCATTCCAATTCATCTTAACCCCTAATACTAATTAAAATGATTTTAACAGCTTTTATATTTACGATTTCAAACTCTTAAAATGCGACCGGATTTTTCATATCAACCTCTGAAAAATTAATAAACACCAATGTTGCTTATCTTCCAGAGTTTGAGCATCCTAGAGATTCCAGAGGGGTTCAAACTTACTGAAATAGACTCTAATTCATACAAAAATTTCATCTGATTTTCAGTCCTGTCCTTACCTGAGCTTGTCAATAACTAATTTGTTCTTCATAAATCTTTATCATCACTAATAATCTGTCTGGACTTCACCTTTGTTATTTCTTAGGTTCACATAGCAATGGCAAAGTCACATTAATTTATAAAATTCTTTGATTCATTGAAAAATGTCGATTTCTCAGCTTCGCATAAATTTTCAAATTGATTAGATTTTCGAATAAAGATTTAATAGCAGATAATTTTATTTGAGGTACTTCTTTGGTCTAGCCCAGAAGAGGTCTTGTAGTACATTCCATTTATAATCCCTGAAATACTTATGAGAAGTTAAAGAGCCTTCAAACATTCTTAACTGTTGAGATTTGGTTTTATATTAATCCTTACTACTGGGATCTTTGGCTTGCAGCTTTAGAACGTCTTTTAAGTTTAAAAAAATTATGTCATGTTTTGGTACAAATTTCAGAATCTCTTATAATTAAAAATCAAATTTTACAGAAATTTTCCACTCAGTTTTAGCTACTTAAGTTGGTGATCTCTCTTCATAAGTTTTTAGGAGAGAAATCATGCTTATTTATTACAAGATTCTTGGAGGATTGCTAGCGAAGTAAATGAAGCCAAGATTGTTAGCCATGACTTTAGAGTTATTAATAACATCTTTTTTGTAAAACCCAATAATTCTTTTGATTACCTGAGTTAAGAAAAATAGGATATAAAAGCTCCAAGACTTTTGAAGCTCTATTTTTAAACATGAGTACGTTTTGATAAGCACTAAGCTAGTTAAGGACATATTTAAGTAAAAAACACCATAAAAAGATTCTTAAAATAGCTTTGTACATTAAGCATACTTTCATCACGAAAATATCGAAATTATTAAACCTCCCAAAACCTCCCCAAAAGTTCCAAAACACAGCACAACACCTCCAAACCCCCTCTCCTCATCTTTAACCCTCTCTTCCCTACCCTCTCAAATTCTCCAACCCTCCTTTCCCCCAAAAATCGCTTTTTTCTCCTAAAACCCCCTTCTCCCCAAAACCCCCTAAATCCCTCATCTAGGCTCAAAATCTCCCCTACCTCAAAACCTCACAATGAACCTCCAAAACCGCCAAATCCGGTTCAAATCCCCTCTACTGCCTTCTCCAGCAAGAAATAAGACTCTCAGAATTCCCTACTTTAACACCAACAACAAGTGCTTGTCTGAACAGAGGCAGTCGGATCGAATTTTTGGAGAAGATTTAGGCTCTGTTTATATTGTATTACAGAAATAATCAAGTTAAACAGCTCTCTAAATGAGCTAAAAAACAATTAACAGTTGAGAGAAATGTGACAAAGATAAGACAAGACACTCATAAAGAACTGACACATGTGAAGAGAACAAAGATAGAGAGGAAACGACCTAAGTGAAGCTCTCCAATAAAAGTGACAGAATCCCCTTTTCCAATAGTATCTGAACGCTTTCAAAAGATGCTTCAAAACTATTTAAAGAGAAACGGAAGTACAAACCAAAGATCTAGACAAAACGAATCTACCATCACTTCTCGAGGAAGCATCTACACCCCAGCAAATTCTAACTTCTCCTATTCCAAAATAACTGACGATTCCAGTATCGTCCAGCACCTCACCATCAAGTCAAGCCCTATCCCAAAAAGACCAGATTCCCAAAAGCCTCTATCTAGACCCTCAACTTTCAAGCCAAAACCCCCTTCAAACCACCTCTCCTGCTCCAAATCCAATCGCAAAAAGAAAGTGGATGAGCTCCTGATGCTAATCACTGAGAAAGAACTCTGTGAATACAGACAAAATATCACAAATTGCTTGTACAAGGCAAGGCCCAACAACATTAGTGATTATTGCTAACCTCTATTTTAATAAATAAGTTAGGGGTTTTGGGGTTTTGGGGTTTTGGGG